AGAGAGAGAGAGAGAGAGAGAGAGAGAGAGAGAGAGAGAGAGAGAGAGACCCGTTGCTTTGATGCGGGCATCTGCAGTTATTCGGGGGTTGAGAGAAACGGTGCCTTCTCATTGGCTGCTGCCGGGATGCTGCTGCTGAGGCTGCTGGTCGTCGTCGCTGTCACAGCAACGCAGCAGAAGCCATTGGCCGCCGACGGCCTCCAGCCTATCGGAGTGGGTTCGCTGTCCGCGGTGCTGAAGCTGCCGTGGTAGGGAGAAGGCCGGTCTGGCTGCCGGAGATGAACACGCGGGGCATTTTTATGAATCACTTTGAGTGGGCCGCGAGCCCCAGTGACACCGTGGGTGCTAAATGAGCGGGGAGAAGCGGGCGCGCGTGCACTGCAACAAAACAAAACTGTGAATCCTGTTTGATTTGATAAAGCTCTTTTAATTGAATATAGAAAGGCGAAAACAGAAAATATGTCTAATAATAATATTGCAAGAAATTTGTTTTATTTTAATGACCCTGATTCTGCTGATTCTGTTTCCACCTGTTTCCGGGATATTATGAAGTTCAGCATCTCAGTTAGTCAGAGTATGGAAGATGTGGGAAATAGAATGCAAACAGGAAGGCAGCTTCGATTTATCAGCCCAGTAATGCTTTTATTACACAGCTATGTTTTTGCACGTTATCGGAAAGGTGATATTCATAAAGTGTAACTCTGGTCCCTGCTGTTCCACTTAGGTCTTCACAAGGCAACAGGGTTTGGGGGGCAGCGGTGCAGGTAGCTGGAAGAGGCTGCAGGTGGTGGAGCCGGTGGAATGTTGCTGGTGGAGGTTGTATTTGGGGCATTTGTCTGCAGCTGCCTGCAGGTGGAGGGTTTTGCAGTAGACTGCTACTGCGCTATGAAGGCGTTATATCTTAAATCTTAAGGTGGCTGTGAGAGGCTATTGCTGAAAGGATGGAGCAGGACACTTTAGGAGGCTTTAGGTGGAGACGCCTTCCAGAATCTGCAGGTGGAGCATGAGGCAGCAGTTGGGAGGTAAAAGCTGCTGGAAGAGGGTGGAGGCAGCAGATGGCTGTAGGCTGGAAGCAGAGGATGGATCTGCAGCAGAGCGACAGAGGCTGTAAGAAATACTGAAACTTAGAGCTACTTAAACTTAAAAAACGATACTTAACTTAACTTAATCTGCTTCAATTTAATTTAACTTAAACTACAGTATTATTTAAAGAGTTGATCTTATTTCACCGGAAGGTTCACCAGAAGTATCCACATCATAAAGGGGAGGATAGACTCTGTCCCTGAATGAGACGTCCACGTGCACCAGCCCGTCTACAGTGACTGATCCTGTCAACATCCCACAGCTTCTGCTTGATGGGACGTCCCAGATCTAAACTGTAGGGAAACTGACGGCAGTTCCTGAACCTGTGAGGATTGGAAGAAACATAAATTAAATCACAATGATACATGTGTTTAAAAAGTTGATATGTGCGCAAATAAAAGTACACAAGTAATGTACGATTTTATTAGTACTGAGTACTTTAGTACTCATTACATACAATGTCCAGTGTGAGTTGAATAATTTGCCGTACTCTATCTAGTACCTGTAGCAGGTTAATTGTCACTGCTTCTAGCAGCCATGTTAAAACAGCCAGCACCACAGCATAACTTGTTATTTCCCTTCATCCTTCCAATGAGCTGTTCCACTTTCCTGCTGAAAAAGAGCTGCAGAGCATCCAGACCTAAAATCTGTTTGTAACATAACAGCAGACTTAATAGATCACTTTACGATGAGCCATCAGGTGAGCAGGTAAAACACTAAACAATGAAGGGTTCTTCCACTAAAACAATTCATGAAGTCAGGTATGCATCTTCTCTCATAGAGGTCCATAAGTACCTCCAGGTTTTACTTGTATAATTTCATGAGAATATATAAACAACGATGATCGGGAACAAGGGACACAACAAAAACAGAAATGCATCTAAAACCAAAACAAGTCTCTTCTCATCAGAACGCACCTAAAAGAAACCACATTAATAGATGCAATATGATAGATGATGGATATAATAATACATTTTACTAAGAGTTCAGGACAACAGTCCTACATAAAGTCTGTCATTTTGCATTCGATTTGGGAGCCTGAGCACCAACATGGAACTTATACGTAATCAGTTGTTCCTAAAGAAAGCAGGGATTTAACTCTGTGTTAATCAATATCTTTTTTCAGCACAGATAAAAAAAATAATAGCAGAATTTAAAATATATGATATAATATATATTTATAATATAAATAAGGACCAGTGTGGGTTTGTTTCTAACAGGTACTAAGCTGATAAAGATGGACGTCAAATATAATTGATTATTGTCGAAACAAAGAAATTAGGATTTGCCTTTGCTAAGAATTTATAGAGAAAAAGCATTTGATAGGGTGCTCAAGCTGGATATTTTCAGTACAGCAAATATTTTGTTTCGGCACAATTAACTCATACGACCCTAGCCCTATTTCTAGGCCTCTGCTCGAAAATTGCATAGCCATACTCAAGAGAGTCCCGAGCTCTAACTACAAGGTCTATTTTAATAATTTTGATGCTAGAATACTGGTACCACTTGTGAGATGTGTTGAATTGTGTAAATATTGTGTATATGTTACTGGTTAATAACTGATACACTTATGGCACAGCTCAAATTGAAAAATTTCTAGGTTTGCCTGAAAAAAAGCACTTGTATTGAACATTTCTTTTTTTAAATAATGCAGCTGCAAGCCTAAAACCACGCCACAGTCATAGAACAACACGTTTTAC